ATCAAAGAGCCTAGTGGAGTACTACAATCACTACATATCCATGATTGGAAGTGGAAGAAATTTGCAATAGATTTTGTGATGGGATTCCCAGATCCAGACGGGACATGACAATATTTGGTTTTATTTGATAGATTAACTAAATCAGCTCACTTTTACTATTAAGAAAACTGATTCAGTAGCCAAATTGGCACGTCTAATATAAAGAATATGGTTTGATAATAGTATTTTCCAAAAGTCATTGTCTCAGAAGAGATGGTCGATTTTACCTCGAGGCTGTGGAAGAATATTCAAGAAAGCTTGAGAACACAATCTACATTTCAGTACAGCTTTTCATCCTCAGACTGATGGCCAATCTGAAAGAACATTCAGGTATTGGAAGCCTGTTGAGATTATGTGTTTTGGATTTCAAAAAAGAGCTGGGAAGAAACCATACCGTTGATAGAATTTGCCTACACAATAGTTACCAATCCAGTATACAAATGGCACCATGAAGGAACTTTATGTGTAGGAAGTGCAGAACCTTAAACTTGGGTTGAGGAAGGAGAAGACAATTAATGGGCCCAGAACTGGTGGAGGAAGCACCAGAAAATCAGATTAATCAGAGACAGGATTAAAGGCTGCTCGGACGCCAAAAAAAGTTATGAGCAAGCACAGAGCAGTTAAGAGTTTGAAGTGGCTGACTTTGTATTTTTGAAGGTTAAACCTATGAAGGGTATAGCTAGATTTGGTAAGGGAGACATTTGAGTCCTAGGTTTATTGGACTTTTGAAATTGTAGATAGAAGAAAGTTGCTTATAGACTTGTCTCTCAGTGACATGTCAGATTATACATAAGTTTTTCATGTATCATTGCTTAGGAAATGGGTTACACTGATGCCCATATTTCAGAGAATTTGTACATGATGAAATGATGTGAATATTATTTACCATTATTTAGCTAACGATTATTGTGATCACTGGAGTCGTCACTTTTGTATGCTCATTTCAGACTCGGTTCAAGGTTACGCTATTATTATTTTTTATACATTGCTTGTGTATTTCATTGAGCCATAGCTCATTTGTAGTGGTTATACTGCAGGTAAGGGAAAGGAGCCCGTAGGGCGCTAGGCGAGAAAGAGGTGACCGTTCCTTTTTTGTGTATATATGTTTTGATGTACAAAGGGATCTTAGAGGAGATCTGAAGGATAGCTGTATAGATCTTTTGGTATGTAAGTAAATTTCAAAAGTGTGAGTAGAGCTCTATATTTATTTTAATTCTGTTGATGTTCAGTAAAGTACATTATATGCTTCCATTATGATGTTCGGAGTTGATAGGTTGACATGTTAAGAGAGCCTAGTTAGATTTATTTCCTTCTATGTTATACTCTAGTTTGTTTGTTAGAGAGTAAGCCAAACTGGGGTGTGACAGAAATTGGTATCAGAGCTTAATTAAAATCAAATGGAAGCATAATCGGAGTTAGATCATGAAGTATGATGAGATATTATGAATGAATCTGATATATACAGAGCTATAGGTTGAATCAAGTTGAATCAAGTTTTAATGGAAGTATGCAAAACATTTTAGTACAATAGTACATGTGCATAACATGCTTATGACCATGTTTATTAATATGAATATATGTATTATATGAATTATTTCTATGCATACAGATAATTATGTTTGAGGAGTTGCCAGAAAGAATGACTGGTCAGTCATCTAGGCCTGATACAGAAACAGGAAGGACTGAGGAAAATAAGTCTAAGGAACTTCACGATATTGTTCATTTGATCTCACAAGTGGTAGATAAAATGACATCTATAAAATTGATTTAGATTTAAATCCAATTCCAAGTTCAATGCCCCCCCCCCCCCCTCCTCTCTCTCTTAATTAACTCTTTCCATTAATGCTCCCCAATCAAATCCCTGCCCCATTAAAGTGTGTCGCCCTTCTCTAGCCCTAATTAGAGGAGTTTAAAATTCAAACTTCTCTCTCCCTCCAAAACTCAAATCTGAAACTAAAAGTTCATAATTTCTTTTGAAATTGCCTTGATCCCTTGCCAACCCACACAAAATCTGAAACCACGTTCCCTCCCCTTCCTCCAAGACCGACCCCTCACCACCCCTACATCTCCCCTTGGAATTAACTCTTCTAATTCCCCTCCCCACCATTAATCCCAAGGGATTTCCAATTAGTCCATTTTTGTCCAGATTTCCTAGATATAACAAATTATTGTATTGGAATTTCATCCATGGGTACTTGTTGTCCCAACAACCGGAGACCCGCTGTGAGCTGCCCAGAAGTTCCAGACATGGTTTAAAATTGCACAATAAGAGGCGCGCCTTAGCGCAATTTCGCTCCTTTAAGCCTCAAAGCCCACGCAATGAGTTCAGGATTTGAGGCGTAAGCCTCAAGTTTACTGAGGCGCCTCAAGGCTTGCCTCGCCTCACGTTTGAGAGGCGTCCGCCTCTAAAAAAAAAGCTAGGTACATGCTCGGTACCGCTCAGTACATGCTCGGTACCGCTAAGTACATGCTCAGTACTGATCGGTATCTTTTCATACAAAGAACTTACGAACTTTGAAAACAAGCAGAACTTCAAAATTACTCTTACAATAAAAAATTGTTCAAGGGGTGCTGCCCCTGGAAACCCCCGCAGGGGCGTAGCCCCTTGACCCCTCGACTTGACCGGTCAGGTTGAACCCCACCAGGGGGCAACGCCCCTTGGACCCCCGACAGACCGGTATATTATTGTATTCATCATCTTTAATAATAGTTGTTCGTGTTAGTCTGCTGTTAGACCAGTCCAGCTGGTCCGCACGGGACCGGCAATTCGCAACCGAGGCGAGATCTCTGCCTCCTGCGGAGATCGGGCGGGCCGACAGCTCAAACATGGCGTTTTAGGAAGGATTTTTGGGGGGTTTCAGAGAGAAATTTGAATGTAGGGACTGTTTAGGGAATTCCTTTTGATTTGTATGCATTAAATAGTTGATTTTGCTAGGGTTTGAGTATCTTGAATTTGGCTGAAATTTGAGATCTCTTAGATTTAGGTTTTCTTTGGGCTTTAGCGGCGTCTAGAGATTTGGGAGAGATCGATCCTCTCGAATTGAGGATCAATTGTATCTTGCTATTTTATTCATCATCTAGTGGACTACAAGTCGTACTTTGAGTTTTCCTACAGTTTTCCTCTAATTCCCCACTGTTTTCGGCTGTTTTAAATCTGAAAACAACAATTTTCGTGATTTGGTACTTAATTTTGGCTAGGTTTGCTTGTGAATACAAGTACTTCCTATCATCTGCTTCTTCATGAGTGCATGCATTATATAAGTTTTCTTAATATAGAATAAGTGAAGCATAATTGTTCAAAAATATTTAGAGAATAGGAAGATAGCTGATATTAAGGAAGGAGCTGATTGGGAGACATTGGACTCTATAGGAGAGGAGGAAGGAGAGAGAGTAATTCATCATAATTATGATTTGAATGAAGACCCCCTTAGTGATGACAGTGCTTATGACTTACGAGTTCTTATGTGATATGTCATTACTATTTATTTTTAGAATTATATGTTAATGAAAAGAATACTGTGATTTGGGAAAGATGGAGTTTGAGTTGAACTATATTTCATGTTGTCTTATTATTGGGATATTTTAATTTCACTTCATATATTGTGCATTTTTATATTTTATATATTACTTACTTATTAGTATATACACAATTTATCATTTTATGTTTACGCAATTTTTTGATTTTGAGGCTTACGCCTCAAAATGCCTTTAGGCTTACGTCTCGCCTCACGAACGAAAAACACCTAAATACCCGATTACGCAATTTTAAACATTGGTTCCAGATTGTTGTCCAAAGTCTTCAGCACATAATTTACTGCCCACCTTCCAGAACTTGCAAAGGAGTTGTCCAACAACATCTAGAAGGTTCTTGTTGTTGTCCTCTTGTTGTTGGCACCCAAAACGACCACACTGGAACTTCGTATCTTCTTCCTTTGGGTAAACTCTTCCCCTTGCTCTTTTATCTACTTACTCACCCTTGATTGTGGCATCTTAAGGGTCATGAAGGCTTTCTCTGCAAGCCAAATTTATTAAGAGTTGGGTGAGAGATCTCTTTCGTAGTAACTAATCTTGTTGTTAATTTAGGGATTTCTTGAAAATCCTTCATGTATGCTAGACTTGAATAATTAATTACTTTGTGTTCTTAACTTCTAGTTGTGTGACTTGACCTAAGTTAGTTCCACCCCTCTCTTATTTTCTTTCATTGTTTAAATCACTGCAAGTGTAATATTTAATATTGCTATCACCTAAAAGCATGCAATTTCTCATTTAATATTGCCTAGACATTTAAGTCCTAAAACGATTCATCTAAAAATAAATTATTCTCTCATTTATCACCCTCAAAGTACCATCTTAAAAAATGAAGAATGCAAGGAAATATGTACCTAAAAACGCACGATCAACAAGTGGTCAAAAGAACTTCAAATATAGCTATGTAACTTCTTTTGTGTTTTCCTGCTTTCTATTTCTTTTCCTCTGATTGTCAGTAAATAGTAATTAGTTGTTCAGAAATGTAATGCTGTCCAGATTAGTTTCTCATTTTCTTTTTCACAACACTAGCTCTTATTTGTGATTTTGTTTCCTGTGCAGGTAAAATATGTTTTCTTCCTTAATCTGGAGGAATGATGCTGCAACTAAATTTTAGACTTCCATGTTTTTGCAGTTTAAAAGAATATATAATTTTTTTAATTGGGTGTTTTTTTACCTGGTTGTTTATGTGAGACTTTCAATTGACTTAGCTTTGTAAGGAGTTCGCTATTTATAAGTTCAAGTCTTAGAATAATAGATTGCATTTTATTTGACAAAGTTACGCAATAATGACCATAGAAGTCCCAGAAAAAGTGATAAAAATAGAAGTGTTTCAATTAAACAAATTGCCAACTCAGCTTTCCATTTGAAGCTAAAAAGGAAATAATTCAAAGTATGAGATGCTCTCTTAAGAACAATGACCGTAGAGCGCATACCGGCAGTGCAAGAATGTCACACAAATCTGACAACTCTGGCACAAGCAAAATAAGAAGATTCCTTTGGTCTTCAAGCTTTTGTTCGCCACCTACGGATTCAAATAATTTAAGTTTCGTGGATTTCTGAAATATCAATATGAATGTAAAACGCATGTGAATAATAAATTTGTTAGAAGAAAAAAATAACATGGTGGGAGTTTCTTAAGGTAAATGGTTGGGTTTGAAGATGATGCAAGAGTGGAAGAGTCAGGACTGGGATTGGATGGAATATTTTTTTTTTTTCGGAGGTTGGCGAAGGAGAGAGTTGGGTTTGATTGTGGATTTGAATTAATTGACACATGCATATTAGGTTAATTGCTCTTGCTTATTAAGATGCCAGTGAAGCGTTAATCAAACAATTACAACCATACCTTTTCGCGTATCCCCCTTTTCTTGAGAGAATTCAGGTAAAATGCAAGAGTCAACAATACTGCTGATTTTTCGCCGCTTAATTTTAACTTCATCGGACTCCACTGCTTGATTTTCCAATCCATCTGCATTCTGAATCCTTCTACGAATTCTTTGTGAATGTTCAGATGTATACATCCATTTACGATGTCTATCCTCCAACAGCCCTGACCAGAAACTGGGAAGATCTTTATCGGGTAAGGAGATGCCTTCCTTCTCACCCAACAAGACGCTATCTCTTGAATATGTTTCTCCACTCAGTGGAGCCTTCATGAGGATAGAGCAACTGACAGGTTTGCTTGTTTCAGTTTTTCCAGGCAACAGTGTTAGAATTTCCAAAATCACATCACTTAAACATAATTTCTCAAATGAAGGTTCCGAAATACCAATTGGGCTGGAATTCGCATGCAACCGATCAAGCAACTGAAATAGATAGCAGGAGCCCCAACCAAGCAGCATATGGGTAACGCTACGACTTATACTCTCAATACTGCTATCAAGAATAATATCTTCTTTTGCAAGCATCAGAAGTTTCTCTTCTACTGTATAAGATGTATAAAAACGAAAAACCCTGATAAAATTATTTTGAGATTCTACTGTTATTTTATGTAATGATCTTAGGTCATTCAAAGGATTCCAATCGCTATTAAATAGAATAATGGCATCAACTGAAAGGAGCTTGACACTTGGCAGGCAAGCGCGCTTTTCAATAAGAAATGCAAATCTCCCACTTTCCTTGTTATTAAACTTCTTCAGAGCAGCAACCTTTTTTGCCATGATCATGCCGGTCTCAATTCGCTCATATGTATCCACCCCAAATCTTTGTTGAAGAAAATCATCCAGCATATCACCAAGGGAAACTTTTTCAGATCCACCTAGAGACTTTCATTAGAAAAGGCTGCAGGTTACAACATACTGAAGAACAAGTAGCAGGAAAAAGGATGCCAAAGAAGCAGTTACAAACATTTAATAAGTTAACAATGATGCAAACTCAGAAGAAAAACAAGTTCTAAATAAAGAAAGAAGAGAAGGATACTCACGCAAATGCCATGATAACTTGAATCGCGTTGTCTTTTGATAGCAACTCATTTTAAAGATTTAGGGAAAATGCAATCCTATATAATTTTTTTTCTTAGTTATGGTGCAAAATTACAAGCATGAATTAGCGTGCAACAACTGACAGGAAGCAAACTAATAGAAAATATTTTTTATTTTACTTCATCAGTGAAGTAATTATGTACTTCTAAAAAAAAACATTATTTGATTTACCAAAGCACAATAGAAGATAAATAAAAAATGCCGTGTAATCCTCATAATCCTAGATTTGTCAAAGTTATCATGGAACAGAATTTTTTGGACAATAAATGATATAAAATACGCGCAAATGCTTTATAAAATTCACACAAGGGAAATTCAAGTTGTAATCCAATCATGCACCATAAACAGTAACAGTGCATATAGAAAAGACTAAATACATGAAAAGACAAAATGAATAATGAAAAGGAATTAGAATTAAATCGTAGAAGCTCGAATTCATCAGTTCTTTCTCAAGCATCACACTTAGAACAATGGATATGACATCCAAGAAGAATTTTTTTCTATAATCATTGGCGCTTCAATAATCAATTTTAGAGAAAAACCCTTATTTATATTATGATTAAACCATCATAAGAATAACAAAAGAACCAATAAATCCTAGTTAAAGGCACACAATGCTGAATCTATCAAAACCAGGGGATCACCAAGCCGAACATTCTACTTTACTTATATATTCAGTATACATGTACTATTACTCCAAATCCATTTATTAAGATGAGAAACATTCATCATACAGAAATCTCAATACTAAGATCATCTTTGACTTTAGGTCTACAGATGATATTCCGCTTCACAAGATTTAGCATTCACCTTATAGCTTTCCAGAAAATTTCTTCTAATATTATCGATATTTATGATAACCCAACTAGTAATCCATAAGAAAAAATAATTACAAGGAATCAAAGTAAGCACTAAATGACTAAAGTAATGAATTCCGTCTGGATAAATCATAAACACCTTTCCAAGAGGATAGCTTTGCTTGTATTTATGACCTAAGATGATTTGAAGAAGTTTTACGAAAAAAAAATTCTCCCTAAAAGAAATTCTAAAATACTTTAGAAGAAGGCTTCAACTTATAGCTTTCCAGAAAATTTCTTCTAATATTATCAATATTAATGATAACCCAACTAGTAATCTATAAGAAAGAATAATTAAAAGGAATCAAAGTAAGCACTAAAGTAATGAATGCCATCTGGATGAATCATAGACACCTTTCCCAGAGGATAGCTTTGCTTTTATTTTATGACTAATTTAATCCCCTTAACCTACTCAATAGAGTCTAATAATGCTAATTATGGGCCAATCCTATGAGCTAATAGGCAGGCCCTTTGAGTTGGCAACTCTATCTTCAGTAATCTTTTAGAACCTTAAACCTAATCCTAGAAAAATTCCTACCAGATTCAAAAGTCTTAAGCATATCCATTAATGGATCAAAAATCCACCTAACTACAACAATGGAGCATTGGTAACACCTCTAACAATCCACCATATCTACGGCGAGATCCTAATAAATCTCATGCCAATTACCAAAGATACTCCATTTTAATCTATGATTTATTCTAACCTTATGTTGCACCTATTACGAGTAAAACATATTGCAGCATTCGTATCAAACATGAATAAAAAATCTGATTTATATTGATATTTTCACTAAAATGTCCCCTCAAATTATGATTAGTGAGGGAGTTGTGGTATTTTCCATTAAATTTGACGGTTTCCTTAACAGATGTATCAAAAAAGATAAATTTCCAATAGTCAAAAGAACAACTTGGGGCAGTGTGAAACTCTATGACTAAATTTAACACTTATTGATAGTTAAAGTATTATTTTGGGCTTTTTCTCTTAATTATCATATTCAATACAGCTTTGTACGTGTAAAGAATTTCTCATATTCATGTTTTAACAAAAGGAAAGTCTACATAATTAATTTGTGCGCTAAAATGTTCAATCTTATTTATAAAGCAGTTTGCAGGACTATTCCCAAGTTTTTTAACACATAACTTCAATATCTATTTTAATACCCAATAGATATCAAACTATCAAGTTAAATAAAAAATTCTCATCGGGGTTTCATTTATAACTTTTTCTTTAAATGCATGCCTGATGCTATCAAAATATTTTGTATTTTTATTGAACATTAGTATGTTTTTTTATGTTCTTTTCTTTTTTAGCTATCCAATGATGGGAAAGCATCCAATGATCATGGTAGGTTGTGCTTGGGGCTTGGTAGACCTTTGGTTTGCTGGCTCGATTAGTCCTTGGCTGTTGCTGGTTCACGGGTTGGCTTATGGTCCATGGTTTTGGAGCCTATGGTGATATGTGGAAGAGGATGGTTCATTGGAGTTGAGCTTAATTTCTAAAGTTGTTAGCTCATTAATGATGAGCTGAAGTTTAGTAGTTCATTAATGTTCTAAGGTAAGCTCATAAGTTGGATTCATTATTGGAGTGGTCTTATCCCTTCTCTTCCCCTTTTCTTCTTTAAAATTTATCCTTGTCTCATGGGATTCCGTGGCTATTTTTTGGGCTTCCTGTGCTGGTTGTTTTCCGTACCTTGGCTCCTTGGTTTCCCCGTTGGTTGTTGTTTTCCGTGCTGGGTGGCCTTTCTATGTCTTTTGGTGTCTCGGTTTCTGTGCGGACCTCTTTGGTTCCGTGGCTGCCTCTTCGGTCCCTGACTGGGTTGTTTCCCGTGAAATGATGGGGGGATTTCCATGGTTTGTGCATCTTGGATTCCTGTGGGAATTCAAAAATATGGTTGTTTGGTTTCTCCTCTCTTGCCTATAAATAAGAGATGTTTTGAGAAGTAATGGAGTTAATTATTGAAAGCAAATTTGCTATAAACCTGCGAGTTCTTGGAAAAGCTTGCGAGCTTGTTCCATTCTTCTTCTCATCTCCTCTAGGAAAGACTTGCGAGTACTTTCCACCCTTCATCTCGGCTTCTAACCTCTTTCGTCTCTCCGCAAGTTCCACTCCATCTGTATTCTTCTTCTTGAGCTTTGGTGATGTTTGTTGGTTGATTGGGAGCATTTGCTAGACGAAACAATTGGACTATCTTGCAGTGGTGGACCATCGGTTTGCTAGCCCTAAAGCACTTATTTTACTTAACCTACATTTCGATACATGTGAGGAACCCGCTCTGACGGTTGTTTGAGGATAGCGTTGTTTTTATTTTCTTTATTTCTCTGAATTTTCTTCTAGTTTTCTTCTTCAGATTTTGGATGTTATAGATGATTGCTACTATTTGAATCGAGTTTGGTTTAGTTCTGCTCATTGTTCTCTTTGTTTTTGGCTTTTCTAACTAGTGTTCTTACATCAATGCCTCGTTAAACACCCAAAAAAATTAGGGCTCCACCCTCAATTCCAATAGCATTTTGACCTTGGTATTTTAATGGCATCCTTTATCTTCGTAAATATAATTAAGTTCTAGGACATGGATGTGTTGACCTTAGGTCCTTAATGGTCCTTTTGCATAAGCATGTTAAGCACGAGAAAATAGATTTCAACTTTCCCATCCATTTGGACCAAACTGAAAAAAATATTAAGGGGTTATTTTGTTGGCTAAAAAAAAATGCACTGTAAAAGAAATACATTGTATTTCAAATACTTTGGAGTTGTTTGAATTAGAGTAAAATAAATACAAGTGATTTTTTTTTTATTTAGCTTGAAGTAAAATGAATATAGTGAAAAATCAAAAAATGGTGGTGGCCAATATGAATCCAAAATTATTTTAAGGAATAATAGCATTAAATCGTAATATATGCTCAACAACTCTCTCCAACAATTTTAATGTATGATACATAAACTTAATTTCTCTATAATTCATACACTCTTGTACCTCACCTTTATTCTTAAAATTATAAACCAACACGCCCTTTCTCCACTCATCCGATATCCTTTAATCGCACCATGAGGTGGAAAAGGAATTCTATAAAAAATGGCCGACTTTACTTTTCATAAAAAAGAACTAAAATACATTACACAGCAAAAGAAATGCTTTACACTGCATACGCTTTTCATCTAACCAAACATCAATATTTTCAAAACCATTGCAAAAGAAATACTTTACAACTACTTTTCTTCAAACCAAACAACCCCTAAAAGCCAAGAAATACTTTACACCCACTTTTCTTGAAACCAAACAATCCCTAAAAGCCCAAAAAGTGAGAAATGCGGATTGATGACCAATAAAATTTCACTTACAATATTGCAAAATAGCGAAAAAACTATACATACATTATATTGCATGCATGCATACTTACATACATACATATCGAAAATGCAAAAAATAAGAAAAATTATATACCTGAAATAGAATCATCACCCTTAAACTACGATCCTTCATGCCCTGAAGAATCTTGCCTAGCAAAAAAAATTTGCCACTTGCACATACTTCCGCATTCAGAAATTCAGCACCTTCCAGACCTTTTGTTAGCAACCCCCGTAGTTCTCCATCAACTAGGTAGGGATGGTCGCAGCACTAAATCAAGGAAAACAAGAATAAGTAAATGAAAGAAATATGCAGTACATACTAAAAAAAAGAATCTGAGCATTCAACAACATTCTCATTGCATAATTTCATGTTGGAACCATATCCCCAAAGTTTGCTATGAGCAAGTGCAGCGGAGTATCTAATCTTGAATTTGAGAGGAAAGGAGACGTGGGAGCATTAGAGAGCACAATTGAGTTACACAGTGATTTTTCAAGTTGTTTGATGTTGAATCCTCAAGCATTCACAAGAAGCTGAAATTTCATATGCTGGAAATTAAATTTGAAAAATTTAAACACTGCATGACATATATGATCCTAGGTACTATTTATATAAAAGTCAGCCTTACTAAAAATGATAAAAACAATAGCCTTATAAATCAAGAAATACAAAACAAATCCTATATGGCGTATAATTCAATGACCCCAAACAACTAAACAACAATCACATAAACAATGACAGATACAAAGCAAAAAGCACTCAGATAATGACAATATGAGTGAGACATCCCAGAATATGTATCATGTGCACCATGAAATCCTTGGGGATGAAGAGAATTCAACTCCGAAGAATTGAATTCTTGTTGAAGAAAAAAGGAGCTCTATTGTATTGTCAAGCCAGAAAAACCAATCCCATAGAAAATTAGTCGCAAGGAAAAAAGAAGAGACGAATTGGAATGCATCCTGTGAGAAATCAAAATAATCATCATAAAAGAAGCAAATTGAAAATCTAACCTCACAAAAAAAATCCAGCTCAAGGTAACACAAAAAATAATAATTATTTCATCGGCAACAAAATCAATAAGAAACTCTCATAATAGATAATAGGCTATAAATCAATATTAGAATTTAATATCTGAAAGTTAGGATATCTTCTATATAGCAGTAGCATGATTTGAATTAGACCACATGTTTTGCGATGCTAGCTAAAAATAACCTTTTTCCCTTATTTAAGCTCATTATGGTTGTAAGAGAGTCAACCTACCTCATGAGCCAGCTCACTCGACATAATAAAGAGCTCGTAAGCCGAGCTTATCGAGACACGAGCTCGTGAGCTGAACTTATCGAGCACAAGCTCAAGCTCAAATTCGAACTTGACAAGACTCAGCTCATGAGCTAGCTCGTAATGATGTAGCTGCTAGTATTTTCAATGGAAAAAATAGCTAGTTTTTTCACTAAACCTTCTAAGCACCTGTTAACATTAATTAATAAATCTACAACCTTCATTAAGGCTTCCAACTTTCTTTCAAAAAAAAGAAAAAGAAAAAGACAGCCAGTAGGTTTCTTACCAACAACAACAACAATCAAGCCTTTATCCCACTACGTGGGGTCGGCTATATTAATCATTTCTCTCCATTGTGACCTATTAAGAGTAAAATTTTCATTTAGATCTAATAAAGAAAGGTGATAAGATCTAAAGTCTAAAAGCCAAGAAAAAGAATACTAGGAACAAACGGAACAGAATTCAACCCAAAAAAGTTAATAAACCACCGACAAAGAAACAAACCGAAGCAAGAAACATAAAAGAGAACTTAAAAAGAAAAGACAAAATTATAAAAATACTACCCTCAGAACAACCTTAAAGGTCACCTCGCATGTATCGAAATAATTAGGAAAATTAGGTGCTCCAAAGAACATTCAAACTAGGGGTCCACCACAGCAATCTTGATCCAACAACCATAGACATTTCTCCGGCAAATACCAAAAAATTGGCCAACAACACCACTCACACTTTATATAAAGAAGAAAGATACAATGGAAAGGTACTTGTGTAGAGAACAAATAGATAGAAAACTAGAAGAACAAAAAGGTAGGAAAGAAGTAGCCCTCATGCTATAAAAAAACCCTCAGGTTTTAGAAACAATTTCAGATAATTCAACACCTCCAAACAGTAGAAAACAACCCCATTTAAATAGGGAAAATGAATCTAAACCCCCAAAAGGTGACGCCCAAGCCAGCAGCCAGATTTAATGGGAAATCTCCTAGAAAGAGGCACGACTAGCCCAGGAACCAAACAGCCAAAGCATGGGAAATACCCAAGACAGAAGCACAAGTAGCCCAGGAACCAAACAGTCAGAAGACAAACATCCAAAAGCATGGGACATACCCAAGAGAGAGGCACGACCAGCCCAGGAACCAAACAACCAGAAGAAAAACAGCCAAATGCATGGGAAAAATCCATCAGCTGAAATAACAAAACACCAAGCAGGAAAGTGAAAATGGGCCAAGCCCATTAGGGAAATTTTAGCCCAACAACAAATGCCCAAAAACCAAAGAAAGCAAGCAAACCAAAGGAGTCAAATGTCCTAAGAGCACCAATCCTAAACATGTTCATATGTTGTCTTCCATCATAGGGTAAACAAAATAAACATAAAATTGCAAATTATATAAGACCAAAATAAAAATTTAAAAACATGCGAATCATAAAACATTTGCTGATAGATATTGAATGCATCAATTCTCCCCAGGCAAAAGAATCTCATCTCCTGATGAGAACGCTTCACTAATTCGTTGATAAATATCAGAACGACGTGTCTATAATTCCTCTGCTTCAATCCAAGTGCAATCAGTCAAAGGACACCCACTCCATTTTACTAGGAATTGTTTGTGCAAACCACGCCTTGTCTGTATAGTTTTGATGTCCAAAACATCTTCAATATGATCATCTTTGATATGAACTGCACAGGTAATGGGTAAGGTCTTTAAATCCATAGAATCAGTTGATTTTCCTTCATAAGAAGTAAGGTCAGCAACATTAAACAAAGGTGAAGTCCCAACATAAAGTGGAAGATCCAGCAGGTAAGCATTTGTTCCCAATTTTCGAAGTATTTGGAAAGGTCCAAATTTTTTTCGACTTAGCTTGCCTAAAGTACCACTAGGAAAACGCTGGCGTCGAAAATAAGTCATAACTAAACCTACCTCTTGAAAATGACACTCCCTCCGGTGTTTGTCAGCAGCAGCTTTGCATTTAGTATTTTTCATATAGAGTCTTTCTAGGACCTGGTGTTAGATCGATTGAATATGATCAACAACATATGTAGCTTCAGCATTGATTTTACTATGCATAGGTAGTTAAATTTGGTCTAAAAATTGGGGAATAGGTTGGCCATAAATAATTTCGAAAGTAGTTTTTCAAGTAGATCGGTTGATGGAATTGTTGTAAGCAAATTCAACTTAGGGTAAAATTCAATCCCATTGAGATGGTTTATCTCTGGCAAGACATAACACCAAGGCCAGCCTTCTCTGGTACTAGCGATCATGATGCCTTCTTCTTCCTTTGTTTTTGTTTTGATCTCACAAGCCAGCTTCTAATCCCACCTTTATTTGACACAAGCCGAGCTCGTGCTCAGGTTCAAGCTCACAATCTGACCAGTGAGAAGAGCTCTACTTAGGCATAACTTGAGCATGGCTTGACTCGTTTATACCCCTTTATGCTCATGATTGGATTGGTTGGATTAATCTCAACAAGTTCGTTTGATTGGAGCAACCAAAAGTACATGAACATGAACTGAAGTAGAATAAAGCAAAACTAGCAAGTTAATTATACTTTTTAATTGAAATGAGGGATCTCTTTTTTCTTAATGAGGAGACTGCTTTGATTAATAAGTGTAAAAAATGTGCATGAATAATATGTAATAAGAGAAAATGATCACCAACTCTTTTGAGAGACCAATTTGGTCCCTCAACCCCTTAAAAAGGAAAATTTTTTATCTTAACATCAAATTATGGAGTTAATGGTGTTAAATTAATTGGTATTTTAAATTTTAATAAAATTATTTATTAAATATAATTTTCATGTAATAGTAATTTTAAAAAAAAATCATTTCTTTAATATAAAAATTTCTAAATAATTCTCTCTTTAATTTCAAAAATTATTAATAATTAATTTAGGATCATTATAGAGTAGAATTATTTTATTAAAGAAATGCTTAATAATTTTTTTAAAAAATACTATTACGTGATAATTATATTTAATAAATAATTTAATTAAAATTTATCAAAATAATCTTTGATTTAACACCAATAATCCCAAAATTTAATGTTAGGATAAAAATGCCCATTTTTAAAAAGTTGAGGGACCAATTATCAAAAGAGTTGGGGACCATTTCGGTCCCTCATAAAGAGTTCAGGTGTCACGACCCGGCCCGAATGCTCGATTTAACGAGGCGGGTACTAAAAGTCGGACCGTTTTAAAAAAAAATTCATTAAACAATACACCACTTTCTTATTTGTACTGAAGAGCCACTACTACCCAAAATTTAAATTACCTGTTGTCATTTGCACGTCGTCTTCTATATATGAATTTTTCTCTTTCAGTCATTACTTCTTCTTTGTGGATTTACCTGAAACATTAATTTAGGGGTTTGAGTTTACAACGTAAACTCAGTGTGTAATAATTAAAACAATCAATATAAATGTTTTTTAATATGCATTATATCATTTTTTAACTTTATTTCATTCAATAAGTAATTTATACATCTCTGGTCATTTTCTATTAAAATATTTTAAAACATTTTGAAACTTTAATATTTCCTTTATCCATTTAGCTTATACAGGACCACCGTCTCAATGTTTCCAAAAGTACAACATTTTCCAATTATTTCCTTTTCCATTTCCATGACCTCTTCCTTTTTACATGCACGAGAACGGCATCCCCAGCCAGTACCATAAGGAGGTGAACTCCTGTATTTTTCATTCATAACATTTTCCTTTCTTTTTCATCTATTTTGAATATTTGTTATTCATTACATATGTCATTTCTTTATTTGCATATTTCCTTAATAGGAAATACATACATTTACATGTATCATATAATATTCTCCTTTATTCATATGCATAATTTCATTCATGTTAATTAATTCTTTCATTTTCTGTTGTAATAATATTTACAATTATTTAGGTATTTAATCTTTCAACATTTCACACATAATAATCTTTGAAAATAAAATCTTGAACATAATATTATAATACAAAATATTATATCATATTGAA